CCATCTCCTCCCTCTCCTCCCTCTCCTCCCGCTCCTCCCTCTGCTCCCTCTCCTCCCTCTTGCCTCTCCCTCTGCCTGTGCCTCTCCGTTTGCCTCTTGAGGGGTTGTCTGAGGCTTGCAAGCCCGCAACAAAAAAGGGTTTGTCTGAGTACTTAAGGCTTCAGGCTCCAAAGCCAAGAGCCTGATGGCTTTGTTTCACACCGCAAACCCAAAGACCCTGATATCTAAAAGCCCAAAGCTCCTATGCAAAAACATTCGAGACACATTTTTGAATTAGAGGGTATTGATTGGGCTCTCCGGGCAAGCGGGACTTTCAACCATTCAATCGCTTTTATCCCGAAGCTCCCTCCGTCTCTCCCTCCCTCCTTCCCTCCGGGTAGGTCGACGCCACCGAAAACGAACCGAACAGGCTGCAAAAATGACAAGTGGTATCAAGAGTTGGTACTTGTACGATCTTCGTCCATTCTACAGGCTGCAATCACATGTGCGACGAAAAGCATCCATCAAGAAATCGCTTCCGTAGCAGCGGAAACCAAGCAGAACCAAAGCAGTGACAGAAGGGTATGTGCCAGATGCCCACGAATGAAAGAAGCGACAGCCGGCGACATAGACGCTCGCGACAAAGGCATATGTCCACAATGACGGTACACAAGCTGCTTAGAGGTTTACCCTTTTGGTCTGCAGATGCGCACACTCAAAATCAGTAGTGCTTTCGCTTGTGTTTGGATTCTCGCTACCTCACCGTGTGGGACTTCAGGGGGAGAGGGGCACACCCAAGCACAGCAGCGACTTCTCTATATGAACATGCAGCAAACCCAGAGTGACAGCAAGAACAACCGAGATGATGATGCGATAAGAAGCGATTTCCATTAGCACAGGCCTAGGAGCAAGCACTGCAGGTTGGTTTTGTTGAGAAAGCAGGGGGCTGAAACTTCGCTAGGCAGGACTCCCTTCCCACCCCTACGATGTGGAGTGCCGATCTAGAATTTTTTTTGGGGTTCGTTTATCTTAGCCCCACGGCCACATGGTCGCAGGCTGACGTCTTGCTTCTAAATGTCTTCAATCGATGGCCGTAAGGTTGCCACAAGTCTCAACATGTTCGACTTTTTTGGGCCTGGCAGGAGCATGTGCGGGATGAAGCCTTTTCAGCTCGTGGACGATGCTGAACTTGCTCGCAGGTTTCTGGTGACGGCATCCAAGGTTTCGCATTTTCGGTAATTCCCTGCGATACGCTAGCTACCACTTTTCATAGATGTTTAGGAACTTGTCCCCAAGATGGAACAGAGGACAACAAAAAGTCTGCATGCTTGTCGTGCACCTCATATCTGAGGTTGCGGCTGCTGGATGAGGTGTTCGATTCATTGGACGAGAAAGAATCCATGGCGCCCACTTGTGGCAAGCAAAGCCGACCAGCATCCAGCTGTAGACGGCCGACGTCTTCGGGCAGATATTCTGAGGTTACTCCGATGGCACGCTCGGGACCTACATGGAAAACACGAAGAAGGCTGGAGGCCAAACGCGATGAACTCCGGAAACCCAACGCTCCTGCCAACCGCACGCCAGCGTCGGGAAGGACAGCGGCCCGTGCTTCAGTCAAAGTGCTCGCAAGGCCTACTGCATCTAATAGAGTCCCACCGTTGAAGGGCCTGCAGGCCACGGGCGCAACCGCACAGCATCCAGTGCTGTCGGAATCCAAAGGCCAAGCTTACCAGAATCTCGAGGATTTTCGAGAAAGAAGGTCAAGATCTACTGCCTCAGAGGAGATGTCCAGCGATCCGAGATCTGAAGTGACTTGGCTCAGTCTTGGCTGAGGGCCATGCTTGTGTGTTGGTTAGCTTCGTGGGTCCCCGAAGAAGTATGAAGAAGCTGGAGGGGAGAACGGAGATAAACAGAAGAAGGGTACGGGCAATCATTGTGGTATAGACTATTGGGTTCTCACGATCAGAGCCAATTGGTTGAAAGCATTTCGCTAGTACTTGGAGGAACGCATCTTGGCTGGGGTCCTGGACTATGTCCCGTGCTCCTGAATCCTACCAGTACTCGAGGGGAAAGCATGGTGTGCGGGGGCCTGAATGCACCAATACTTCCTGAAAGCAGTTTGGCCGTGTTGAAGAGTATCGCCAGCACTTCAAGCAGGTTAGCCGCGTGTTCGTCGTCGTCCTCGTCGTCGCTATGGGAGAGGTCGTTAATATGCAATGTTCTGCAACAAGTTATATAGTTTTAACATGTCCCCTGTCTTATCCTTCATGTTCATTGATACATTGAAAAGTTGCCGTGAAAAAAATGTTATGGTTCATTTCTCGAATCTCAATGGTTGTACGCATCACAAAAGTGTAAACGTGATGTAACTCTATGACTAGATATTCCTAATCGTATTGGACGATGAGAAGCCCAAAAGAAGCAGTATCTCGATTTTCAGTATTTTTGAAAGGAATTGCCTCTACTTTCCCGATGAATGGCATAGCTTTCACCCAGCAACATGAAAAATCCAGCTTCAATACAAATTCTGTACGTTTTTTGACGATCCGAATCTATACGAATCTATACCAGAGTGTGGGTTTTTAGAGGACGATAATGGGCCCGGATGACCTATCGCAGTTTACGCATCCTCGTATAAATCTTATGCCTCATGGTGGTTCATGGTGGTTCGAGGAATATAGTACACGTGTACATTCAGCTTTCCGTTTGTCATGTTTTACATTGTTATGCTTGAACAACCACATATGCCGAGCGAGTCATGGTGATCGCGGTCGTCATTGTCTTATCAGGGGTCTAGGGATGACCAAAACCCCCAAAAGCAGTTTTAAAGTAGATTCGTCCGTACTTTGAGAGCAATCGAATTCCTTGTAAAACGATATCAATAAAAACGATAGCGAAGGTTCGTAACTTTAGCTCAGATCATACAGTCCCAAAAGTCTTGTAAAACGATAAGAGTTAAAAAAGAGATAACCATGTTAAGTGTCAAGCAAATGGGTGGGGCTCTCACGCACCGTCGACAATAGAACATTGCGGAAGAGCGGGATCTAGAGGTCACCCGACGAAAATCTGGAGACTGATCAAGCTACTACTACAAGCTCTTACCTACCCCAAGACACTACAACACAATTGAATTGTCATCGGACCCTGAAGCTGGGCCAAGGTGGGCAGAGATGCAGGCAGGATTTTTGCGCATTCTCCATGACGTTTCGACGCATAATTGTGGCATCGTCATGGGCAGGTTCCAGCCCGCGATCGCTGTCAGAATCAAAAGCTTCACCCGGCCGAGCAATAGTTGACGATTCTGACACAAACACGGTATACACAGATGACGAATTCGAAGATGACTGAAACTAGGCCCCAGGTTTCACAAAGCTTCGCGGGGGCTTTCACACGTGTGCACCGCACTGCGAATTGTCAGTTCTTGAGATGCAAGATGCGTCTTTGTGATTTTCCAGTGCAGTGCGGGCAGACTACAAAGAGTCTCTGCTTCGGGGGTGGGGGGCGGTGGGGGGGTGGCAGGCGCGCGGGTGGGTAGACGAGTTTCGCTGAGGACGTGCCAGACCCTACCATGCCCAACATTGGGGAGGCGCTCGGCTGACGGCATTCATCGATTTCAGCTGTGCTATCAAATCCAGAACCACCTGCTGTGGGCGATCTAACTCAGAAAGGAGCTGGCCGAACTGCGGGGCCGTCTCGGCCGCGTCGAAAGGGCGCTGTGCCTGGCTAGGCCTCGCCCGGGCACGGCAGGAAAGGCGCTGTGCGTTCTGCCGAGGCTCTGCAGGCCCGCCAGGGCCATGTACCTGGCGGACCGGGCTGGTCAAGCTCAGAGGTGCTTCGAACCACGCAATCGGTGCTTCCCAGTGTTGAGACTCGAGGTGCTCAATTTGCGTGGTCGCTTACAGACAGTCGGGCTCTCAAATTTACGAAGAAGCTTGCCTGTCGTAATTCCAAGGAGGTACGAAAGTCGTAAGTATGACACGTTTTCACAGTTATGTTGCTGCACTTTGTGGGGGTTTATCTTTCCAAGCAAGAAGTAATGTAAGAGAAGAGTTGCGAAGTTGCAAAACTATAATCTGCAGCATACCTGGCTACTGCATGTGGATTGTGACATGTACAACTGTGGCTCGAAATACCTCAAAACCGATTGCCAGACGTCCGAAGTGCAATTGTCGAGACAAGCCCATCTCCTACGACTGGTTTTCTTCACGGAACACAAGCCAACTGGCGTTGTATTTATCTTGACGGGAGTACAGCAGAGCCCCGAAGCCAAACAAGAAGGAGTCCGGAACTGACTCGCCTGGATGCCCCCCCGAACCGATTCGTGCGAGGTAGAGTCTGAACTCGTGGATGTCCGGGCAGAGCTGCGAGAGGCACATCTGCTCTGACGGCTCGGTCTCATGAAATTCGGCATGAGGCGAGCCATTCCTGTCTTTTGGTTGCAGGCTTGTGCGTCGATCTCGCACATGGCATGCATGTGGGAGAAGATGGAGAAACCTGAAGCGGAAAGGCTTGATCGCGTTGCTCCAGTGCTGACGCGAATCGGCAGAGTGGTAGTTGGTTGGTGGGTAGGCAGGTCGGTCGGTCGGGAGCAGGGGGCTATGTAGGCATGCACATATGCAGGCACACAAGCAGCATGTATTTATGCATGCCTGTATGTATGTATGTATGTATGTATGTATGTATGTATGTATGTGCGTATGGACTGACTGGCTGATTGATTTGCTTCAGACACATGCACTAATTCGGCACATGCGACGTTGGATCCTGTATTTTGTCAATCCTGAATGGAACTTCTTCTTTGTCGACAACATGCTGCGAAGGCGTACGCCTCCTGGTGAACTGCTCAGCCGTTGTCAAGTGCATGTTCTGTTCATGCTGCAGAGCATGCATGTTCATTTTGTCGGCGCCCGGCGTTTCCATGCGAATCTGCTTGTGTTCGTGAGAGAGCTCAGTTCCAGCAGCGACACCACCACAAGATTCCAGGCTGCTCGTGGGACTCGGACCGTGTCAATTCTCACAGTGGACTCTTGGTTGTTCAGGCTGGCTGGCCCTGAAACGGCCACTGCTGCTGAACAGGCTTGAAATTGATTTGCACGTTACAGCAGTGGCCGCACACTGTTGTTGTGTCTTAATCTGCAGGATTTGAAGCTGGCTAATCTAGCACAACCTCCCGCAGCGACCCCGGCTCTATTCTGTCTGCAATCAGACTTGAGCGGTTGTCGATCTCAGGATCCCTGACAGGTTCCTTACTGTAGAAATGCTTGCTAAACGACGGATCTTCAACAGAGTTTTAATTCAGGCAGAACCCCATGTGCCCGTCCAGGACACGGCAGTGGCTTTCAGAGACATCAGTATCCGATTGATCAATCTTGCGCAGCCGTTCATGTTCTTTCTCATAAACGACCTTTCGCAGCTGACACCTCTAGGTATCAAGAAAAGCTCTACAGCAGAGCTTGCACCTAAAACGTTCAATGGGTCAAAGTCTAAGAAAGAGCGTTTGACACAATGAGCTTTCTGGGCGCCGGCTATGACAGCGACGGTGAAGACAGCACCGAAGCACCGGAAGCAAAGGTGCAGGCTATCTGCTAGCAGTTGAAATCCACTGCATCTCTGTGTTCTCTGCGCTTGGTCGTCAGTGTCAGAGGCGGGGGAGCCATCCCCAAATTCAGCAGACAGCGGTCCGATGCTTGTTTTCGCATCATTGGCTCTGAGATTATTCGATGTGCTGCCGAGGCGGCGATACACTGGCAGACGAAGCCTTGCTCAAGAAGCGGAAGGCCCACACGACAGCATGGTGGGCATCGGCTGACAAATGTTTTGTGCTGCCGGCTTCGAGCTTGGCAGATTGACTACTCAAAGCTGCCTATGTCAAGGCTGGGTTTAGCGGAAAGGCATTGCCCAGTCAAGTGAAATTGAAAGCCGGCAAAGTCTATGACCATGCAGCAAATGGCGAATTCGGTTGTGTCCGGCGAAGGGGGCTGAGCTTTGAGACTCCGCAACAGACCGAACTCGAGGAGGCGCCTTTGAAGAAGGCAGAGCTGTGCACCAACGAGCCACTTGCACTCGTAGCCTTCTTCCGCCTGAAGTCTTGAAGTGGCCCCAGGCGGCAGAGCTGGCTGCCAATCCAGTGGGTCAGGGTTTGCTTGCGGCTCTACCTCCGCCGAAGGCATTCTCTGAAGCAACGTTTGCAGTTTGCTGCTGCCCATGTCTCTTTTTGACTAGGTGACACTGGGAAAGGAAACGGGATCGAGCTCCATCCGTCTAGATTTGGACGATGACGCTTGGCCAGCGCATGTTGGAGTCTTGCTGGTGTGACATTCGCAACTTCGCGAAACCCACGGCGGGGTCCCATCTGAGGTAAAACCTTCCAGGCTCGTAGCGAGATGTGGCGATGGGGTTTGCCAAGATGACAGAGTTTGCGAACACGCCAGGAAGAAGAGCACGGTGCCGGTGGAGGGCCTTCTTCGCCCAGATAACTACACAGACTTGGACGAGGAGGCCCGGTCAAGGCTATCCTAAGCACAGACCTTGAGTATGCAACGTTGTGTGTCAGATGCAGGCCGCAGAGGTGCCAGAGAATGTTTTCAACCATCCCATGTTCTCCACCGACACGCCGCTTGCTTCAAAGCATCGTGTGCTGTTTGCGTGATAGGGAGTCATGTCAGCATACGGATGTTGCCAACCGTTGTCAGAGGGCACAGCCAGACGGTCCATCGGTAGATGACCTCCTTGAGATGATTCTCGGCAGCAATCTTGTCCTTGAAACATGTCCGCCATGCATCGTGGTGAACAGTTGCATCTCAGGAGAAAGCCGCGGCAGTTTGTCGAGGTCAATGCAGACGACATGAAGGCAAAACAAAGCAAACGCTGCAGCATTAGTGTTGGACCGTGAAGATTCAATGCCTGGCACGCGGGATCAGCGCTCGTACGACATGCGTCGGGGCTCGGCAAACCCGGTGATGTAATCTTTGTTCTAGCTGTCTAGCTTGTTTCGATCCAAACTCAACACGCCGGAGAGAAACATTGTGTTCGGAACGGTTCTTCTCGTGTGAAACTTCACCGCGTTTATTGCTATCGAGCGGAGGACCCCGACTGGTACATGAAAAACCAGATGGACGGTGGCCCTGGGCTTCTGACCAAGAAGCGCGTGGCAGACGACGTCTCCATGTGCGCCAGGGTTTGGAAAGTGTTTTGCATACCTCACAGTCAGAAGTTTTGGCGAGAGACAACCTGGACGAAACAGCAGTTATGGCAAGGTTTGATGGAAGGGGTTGGCGTGCGACCACGCACGCAAACCCCAACAAGACCCAAAAGCGGAAGCACCAGATCAACTGGCTACTTGGATGCACGATCAGTTGCTACATGGCATTTGTGGTTTAGGAGAGGCATGGCGAAGCAGTCCGGTTTAGCACTGCAATTGAAAGTGTTGTCAGTGAAGAGCCCCAGCCTCTGAGACGAAGCAACTGACTCTGAAGGTGGGCGACACAGCAAGCACCTCCATGTTGTAGGGAGCGAATCGAGCAAGCGCTCAGAGAGCAAAGCGAGAGAGTTCCCAAGGCTTGCTCGCGGGTTGGTTGTTGAGGCTTGCTACAGAAGCCATGGAGAAAGAGGCCGAGTATCTGGAACGGGGACAACAGAAGATTCTGTCCAAGGCCCATCCCCACGGTTGCTTGAGAAGCTGCTGCTATAGGCGATGTTCCATTTGATTTGTCAGGCGCAGACGCATGCCAAGTACGGTTGGTGAATCCGCGACAGGACGCTGATGCACTGCAAGCATAATAATTAGAGGGAAAACGTGTACGTTCTTGATCCTCCCTAACGCTGTTCTTACGGGTACACATGGTGTTCCTTTGTCTAGGTGTGATTGTTCTGTCTATCTGTGCATCTACCAACATCTATCCTTCTAGCTGATTGCTTCTGAAACCCGAACTGCAGTGGGCACTTCAGCGTCGCCTTGCCAGCTACACGAAGCCGCAGGGTAGCAAAATGGAGTTCATCCGCTTTCTGGGACGTGCTTGGCAGGCAGTAGCTCCGCGGTTCCATGATACTGATTCCCGATGTTCTGCGAAGATGCGCCCGACAAAAGCCGGTACTCAGGTACCCATAACGAGCTAAGATGACATTGCCCATGATGGCCATGATGGGCGATAAACATAAATAGGTATAGACATAGATACACACATAAACATAGATATATATATATATATATATTTATTTATTTATTTGCTTATTTATTCTTTTTGTTTATTTATCCTCCTGTCAAACATTACTACTTTGCAAAGCATGTGGTCTCAGACACATGCACAAGCTCGTATTCAACTAACACACCAAATCATTGTGAGTGCGAGCTCGATCCACGAATTGTGTATTCCCTACTTACTCCATGTGGTCGTCCATAAGAGTTGAGCAGGCTTCGGAAGGAGTCAATCAATCAATCATATCCGAGGGAGACTTTTGCTCTTGGAAACTTGCTAGGGGTGTCGGGTGGGGGACAAACCTGCAAACTTGAAATCGGTTTTGGTGCACAGACCCGGTCATAGGGATAAAAGACGGCTTCCCAAGCCGTTTCGTCACAGCGCGGATGCAGGTCACCCTGAATCCAAATTTGAATGGTTCCTGGATGTTGCGAGATTGCGTGAAACGCTCTCTTGTTGTAAAGTGATGCGACAGTGATTTAGGGCACAGCGCGCTCCTTGGAGAGGAAAGGTTGCGTCTAACACCGGCATTACATCCCGTTGCAAGCGTAGGTTTCAACACGAGCAACCACGATGTTTCGAAGGTGAGGGGCATGCTTGACGTTCCTCCTTCAAGCTCTCCGCGCAAGCCAGCCTACCCGCTGATGGCCTGTGTCCTGGACTGTCGGCAAATGATGCTCACATGTTCGTGTCGTGATCGAGTCCTGTCCACAGGTGCCCGCAGCGCGTCTTGGGCAGGTCGTGCGAGGCATCTTCTAGCTGCTTCAAAAGTTTCTCACCTCCAGGTCCAGCCCTCACAAGCCTGTGGCCTTGCTGCTCCGGGCATTGGACAAGGAAGCTCGGAGATGGGACTATCCTCGAAGTTTTCATCGAATCTCAATCTCCATGGTGTTCCATTAAATCGCAAAGGACTCTGTGGTTATATTCAGCGCCCGGTTCACCCTGCAGTTCTGCGTGTGGGACCTTCAGCAGCGGACCTTTTGGGGGGTGCTCCTTGGTGTGCGCTTTCAGACATTGAGGTGAGCACGCCCCCGCAGACGCTTCGAGCAGCGGTCCGGTCGCTGAGCGGGCTTGGATGTGCCGCGTGAGCTGGCCCGTCCAGGTCGGAGTCCATCAACTCAGAGCAGCTCATGGTGGTTCGAAGCTCAGCGACATCAAGCAACGCTGTGTTGGAAGCACCCGGTGGCCTGGCTGGCGAGATTGTTGAACTCAGAGGCCAGCCAATGTCTCCGGCCTGGTCCAAGCCCTGGGAATCATGACGAAGTGGCTGAGAAGTGTTCGGGCAATGGGCGAATTAGGCGATGGCAGGCCCGGTGCCCACCGTCAGCCTGACTTGCGGTCCCAGCCAATGATGACCTGTCGATGAGGAGCCATGGCTGGGCTGACAGCAGCGGTTAAAGAGGGCCTTGCTCTATGGAATAATTTTGTTCTGCTCATGGATTATTTCCCTTCTGTGAAATGGAGAAACCATACTTGAGGGCCCTTTCGTTACCAGCCGGTGCTTCATACTCGCAGATCGTCATGTTAAGCTTGGCAATGCTCTCTCACTTTGTCAGCCGAGATAACCCCGTCCACTCTTGGATACGAGCTGCATGAAGGACCTTTGGTTCGGAGGAGCCGGAGAGCAGCGGAAAGGTCGACATGTAGATTGTGAGTTTGCCCAATGTCCTTAGTTTTTTGTCTGGCTATCCCAATGTCGCCGCAACTGCGCTTGACTTCACCAGATACTTGTGAAAGGTGGTCGTTAATTCCTCTTCCCTTGGCACGCGGCAGATCGCCAGCAGAATTCGTGTTTGCACGGCGGTTTTAGTTTAGAAGTAGTATGCTAGCGGCTAACGAATCTCGCTTGCATGTGGTCCGAGTGTAGATGAGGCGACATTTTCAGCAAAGTCGCGGTGCTAAGCGTTTTTTGTTCCTGGATGTTCCTCATGTTGCTAGCAGATGCAAGGACGAGCATGAAAGCTAGGCAAAGCCACAAGCCAGGAGTGAGATGCAGAAAGACATAGGGGCTCGATACAAAGCTTCAGCTTTCTGGCAAGGTGTACTCCAGCCAACCCAGACGATAAATTGAGAGTTTCTGTTTGGCTTCCACGGCCGCGGTTTGAGAATGAGTGAAGTAACTTCATTTTTGATGATTGTTTGTTGAAGGCTCGGATTTGGTGCAGCTTTGGCTGGTTCGTGCTTGTGCGGACATGGCGTTCTTCTGCCCCTACGGATTCTGAATGTAAAGATGGAATCATCGGCACTTTCGCTTCTTCCCCCTATTGCAGCTATGCCTGAGTGGATCTGACGGCCACCGATGTGGGTTAAAGCATATGGGACCCCTTCCATCGAGCAGGTGCCGTGCAGGTCTTGAGGGGAGCAATGAGGGAAGACGGCAAAACGTAGAAGACATGCAAAATTCTGTAGATGTTTGTATCTGGTTGCGATAGGTTCCATGCCACGTCTTGGGTTAGATCATACAGAAAACCAGGTTGCAAATTACAGGGTTTCTGCTTGAAGCTATGTTTTGAGCGCAGCAGCAACCCGGCAGATCTAGCACAGACTTCAGCTTCGCAGAAAAAACTTGGGATAGTCGTAAGCCACGGATAGAAACAGAAAGCTCTACGAGAATAGATCTCGTAGGTTCGCTGGGGACATCGCTCACTTCTGGGATCGCCCTCAAATTCGTGGAATCCGCTTCGTGAGTGTAAAAAGGACGGGAGCCCAAGCGTCAAAGGTGCTTTGTTCGAAGGCATGTTGGTTTCCCTCGAGCTCCTGGAGCATCTTTTCGGGACTTTCTCAGGCTCAATTCGGAATGGCGCGCCAGACTTCGTAAGCATGGGTGCTGCTGCGACGGCACCTTGGCAGCAAGCCGGGCGTGCAGCCATGGTTGAACTTGACTTTGCCCGCTCGTTTTTGCGTCTCTCCCTCCCAGGTGCGACCACCGTCGCAGCTGGCACCACGGCGCCCAAAGTGGTAGAAGTGTAGTGTAGTCGAGTTCGTGCAAACGTTCAATCAGACCAGATGCACATGTTGTCGGGTAAGGTTTCTTGTACTCCAGTAATGACGTAGAAGCCACCGGTTGCAACGATGCTGAATTTTAGAGTCTAGATCACAATGGCACAAAGCGCAAGTCCGACAGCAAGGCAAGGCATCACAAGCAGGCTACATGTGGAAGCAGTGAAGCGCAGCAATGGACTGCTTTCTCTCCGGCTTGGCAGGTCAGTGTCTCGCATTCAGAATTGACTTAATGCATTCCTGGCTCTTTCACAGGCTTGGTCCTTGCACGAAGCCAAGACGTGTCCTGGGCAAGTCCTCGAGCTCCTACTCAGAAGCTGGTGCTACCTTCCACAACAGCCAGGCAGTTGTGTTGGGCAATGACTTCCTGTCGTCAAGACCTCGGCTTGCTCCCGTCTTGTTTGAACCATCTGGATCAAAAGGTTGTCAGTTCCGCAAGAAATTTTGACTTAGGTCCTTCGTCGCTGCCTAAGAGTGAGCTAGGGCATCTTCTGGGTCCGGTTCGCTTGCTTCCAGAACTCAGCAGTACCGTAGCCGAGGTTGCAGTCAGTGGCGATGCACACCAAGCCAAAGTTGCACAGGTGCTTGCAGACAGTGCCAGCGAGCCCGAAACTGACACATGCGGCCGTGTCAGGATCTTTTTCGCCAGGAGGCTTGGAAGTCGGAAGGGATCGCGGGGCGCAGGTCCCTCCCCAGTGTTTGCAACATCCTCGGAGGTGCGATACGAAAGATCGCTGCAGATCCGCGAAGATATCCGTGATGTCAACAAGTGCATGTACTTGGCCCGCAAGCTATGATTGTCAATCATTATGGCGCACCGCCTTGTAGCCGACTGATGCTCGTGATTGGCCTACATGCAACTGCTCTGAGGATGGAGAGCGTGAGAGGCTGAGGTGATGACGGGTCCGCACACTTGTCGCCCTGGTGTGTTAGAAACCGCACAGTGAGGTGCAGACCCATGTCCTAATGGGCAGCATCATTCTCGCTGTGTGCTTCAGCATGTCCATCGAAGGGTACCCGGGAGTTCGAACGGACAGCTGATGAAATATGCGACTGTGCTTCCTGTATCTTGTAGAGTCCTAAATTCCTAAATCGATGCCAATGAAACTTGGCGTTAGGAGCGCCTGCTGGACCTGCTTTGGCTGCTTTTAACATCTTGGGCCTCGACGACGGGGTCTCAACCTGGCCACTACGTGACATGCCATGGCACGCTACGTGCAGCATGTCATCCAACTTGCCGCGCTGTCATGAGGTTCACTTTTGTGGCCTTGTGGCTGGCCTTGCGCTTCCAAATGAAGATTTCAGGGAGCGCGCGTGAACGCCTGTTACGGCGAGAGGCTCATCGTTTCCGCTGGATCCCCCTGCAGAGTGGCAGTCGCGAGTTGCTGCAAGTGGCAGTTGGAGCGACAAAACGTGGGAGCAATGTGGCAGCAATCAGGCGCCATAGATTTATGGTTCCCGACGATCTTGTCGTTGGCAAGTGCGCACCTGAGCTACCGTGGCGAGCTGGTTGCCCGCTTAGATTTGAACCGTGCGACCAAGGATGGGTGGGGAAAACTTGGTCAACCAGATGGCGAACTTTCATAGCTGGGTGCCTGCAGCTGCAGTGGAGTACTTGACAGACTCATCAAAACGAGGTGTTATTTTCCGATGGCGGTGCGCCGTTTTAGGTGCTCGAAACTATGGATGACATGGTGTCAGCCCAGACGGACGAGGAGTGAGTTGCAGCCATGCATAAAGAGGATCACTGTGCGAATTCAGCAGGAGACACTGCGGGAGAAGTGCCAGCCAATCTTCTTGAAGCATGTGCCCCATCATTAGCTGTTCAGAGCCGATATCAGTTCAACGGCCGAATGTCTTAAGCTCTTTCAGCAACACTGCCATGATGCTGCTGGCTTGGCGCTCGGGATGGCGATGTCGGAGACGTCGCTGAGGCAAGCTGCTCGACCGCTTCGTGTGCCCGTGGCGCTCCTAGCAGTCCTGGCATATCCTGGCATCTAGCCAACGTATGCACATCGCATGGCTTGACATGCGCCGTTTACATAGGTGGAAAGCTTGGACTCGAACGACATTGATGCCGAGCTCGATGCTCATGACTTGCCTGGTGCTGTTTACTGGCTCGGAGTTTGCGCTGCCAGTTGTCACAACTTTTCATGTTCACGACTTTCCACTGACCCTGTTGAGGCCGTTGCGAAAGGGTTTTCATGCCTGGCACCACGAAAGTGGCAAGGCCGGCCAGCCTTTCATTCTAACACATTTTCCACCACGGCCTGATCGCGAGGGCTACTCGCAAAACAAGACGCTCGAAGTGCCATATTTCCTGGTGGGAGAAACTTGTGTGCCGGGAACTCGGGGCGGTGTGGTTTTCGAACCATGCAAAATCCATGGGCACATAGAGCAGGCGGATGCAGTGGCTGATGCTCGCTAACGGGCCGTCGCTCAAGATGAGAGTGCCGGAGCCCCTGACCTTTGGCAGCACAGGCCCGAGATGGCTTGTGTTCTGTGCAAGGTATGGCGATGCGACACTCTATGCGTGCACCCGAGAGCCGAATCTGTTTTGATAGTGTCTTGAAGGCACGGAGGAGACTCGTGAGGCTATTGGTCAGGAAGTCTTTACTTTTTCAGGTTCGGGTAGGCTGGACGAGTTTGGCTGCGCACCCAGTTGCCCAAAATTTGTGCCCCTGCCCAGTGCAAGGGAATAGGTCTCCACGGCGTTTCAAGTGAAAAGAATTCAGGCAGTTGTGAACGTGGTGGGCTGTTTGAGCCGATCCGTTTGTTGGCCCCGTAGCTTTTGATTTCTGGGTCTCCGTGAAGCTGAGCATGTTTCCAGGTGTCTGCTCAAGTTTTTCCAGGCCTGCCGATAGTCCGCTGCCGATTTGTGCTTGTCTGGGAATGGCTTGGTGTTGCAGGTGACGCGGTTTTGCCGCAACCGTCTGAGAGAAAGTCAAAGACTTCTCACACCTCTGGCGGGTCATCGCCGCAGAGCCCCGTAAGTGCCAGGGTGCTCAGCTTGCAAAAGCACCGTACGCCAAACATCACCGAACTTCGACGAACATGCCCTGAGGCTGCTGGCGTGAGGAAGGCGTTGCGCCTAGAAAGTACTGTGCCTGCGTGGCCTGCGGATGAGCTCCCATTGGTGTGGCGCCCAAAATGCAGGGATTCGGCGGGCTGCGTTTTGAGATTTCTGCGTTGTTTCTAGACACGCAGCAAGCTCAAATGTGGGAAGGAAGTCTTACTTCCTCAGGTCCGCACTGGCTTCAACGAAAAGTGGCGAGGTGAGCCTGGAACAGTGCAAACGCGACTGTGTGCTGGCGCAAGTTGCAGCGAGGTGAGAGCGGCTATGGCGAGTTCCGGCGAGTTGAAGGCTTTTCCATTTTCGTAGATACACAGAATGCGATGGTCAGCAGCTCAGTTCAGAGTGCAAGCCCGGCAACATCTACCCGAAAGCTGCAAGCAACAGTCTGGTCCCTTTTGTAAGGAGCTTCCTCTCTACAAGATTGTACTGGCCAGTCCAAGCGACTTCGACGAGGAGTACATCGATGTTCCTTGGCTTGCTGTCCACGGCGGCTTAAGTACCCACATTTCATGAGCAGCATAAGCACGTGTTGTACAGGTGGTCATCCAGTGGAACTTCAAGACGGCATGCGAGGCAGAAAAGGGCATTGTGCCGGTCTCCGCGTTGCAGCGGGCGTCTGAGCCAGGCGCTGACAGTCGTTTTGCGCCGTGGGCATGTGCACTGCAAAGAGGAGGCTGCGGCCTCAGAAGTTGTGCGTGGTCAAGTTTCAGCTGCCCTTGGCAGTGCTTGAGTTGGCCATTGCGCCATGAAGTTGTTCTGAGGATTTCCCTCTCTTTGAGTTCAACACTGAAGTGAAAAAGCCTTGGCCTGAATGAACTACATAGCAACCACAGCCTGGCCTAGCAGTGCCTCGCCAGGGGGGCGGGGATCCTCATCCATTGCATTTAGGAAGCTTTAACTCCGGACCCTCGCAATCGGAGAAATCCGAGGATGTTGCCTTTGAGACGCTACGTGCGCTGCACAGAGCTGCTTCGCGAGCCGGCTGCGACTGCAAGTACCTGTCATGCTGCAAAAGAGATGTAGGAAGTGGCTTCACATCGAAGCTGACTCTGTTTCTCAGGCGGGAAACTTTTTGGCTGAAGGCACCATTTGCCTGCTGGTCGCGGTCTCGGTTTCAAGCAAGGGGGCTCCTTGCTCTGTCGGGTGGAGGGAGTTGGACAGTTGGACTGTCGCTGTACCCTGCGACCGTGGTGCTTTTGCGGACAGTGAGCCAGACCACAGACAGAGTAGAAGACTACGTGGGGGCAGTAGATCCAAGCCAACATGGGCTTCACGACTCCACCCTCCTTTGAACCTTGGAATCCTTCAGCTCAGCTGGGTCCAGCACGGACCTGAACCTTGAACCCTTGAGTCTTTAAGCCAAAAACTGCCTGTAGCCAACAACTCTGTCTGTCTTGGCGCCCACGTAGTCCCAACACCTCGGAATAAAAAAACCAAGAAGACCCCACGGAGCTGGAGGAGAACCAAAGGGGTGTGCTTTTGTTGCTGGTCTTACGCTCCCACGGGCCCCGGAAGGTTCCATGTGAATCGCATTGGCGACGGTGGTTGTTGTTGCAGGTTGTCGCAGGTCAATCTGCGACATTCTGTGAATGGAGCTGACAGCTTATCCCCACTGTGAGCGGCCCTTCATGCTGCCGCGGCTCTCGGCCGACTCATGATTACAATTCTTGCTTAACTGCTGAAAGCTGCTGCTGCTGTTGTTGTTGCTACTGCTCGAGTATTATGTCTTTCCTGGTGTTTCCTTTCTGTTTTCTTGCAGCAGCAGTTGTCGTCGTCTCCGTGATTTATTATTATCTTGCGATGCCCTCTCGCTCTCGCTCTCTCTCTCTCTCTCTCTCTCTCTCTCTCTCTCTCTCTCTCCCTACATTTCAACCCATGGCAGAGTGAGACGTGCAAGTTAGGACAAGCGATGCGCATGTGCTACAGGTGGCAACCTGTCTGCTGATGACGGGCAGGATGTATAATTTCAACATCACGGCGGGAATCCCGTGGGCGTATGCGACCTCAGCTTGAATGATGTCCATCCATAGTTTTCTGCGCTGATGGTCCGCGAGGTTTGAGGTTGCCTTGTCCTTTGTGGCGCTCCTTCCTGGATGCGCCGATGGCCTACACATTTCAGAAGAACATCTGAACTGCAAGATTTTGCCAAGGTGCTCCTTCGAATCATGCCTGTTGAGACGGCACAAAGCGAGGTCTCTGTTCGTGACCAGCTTTCAGTGTTGCACTGCATGTGATTATGTTGCGCAGGTTTTGCAGATCGCTGAAATGAACGTGCGGCCCGCAGTGCACGGTATTCCTAGACCATCGCCTCACGTTCTCGCGATCTCGCAGCGACTGCTTGCTGATCGGCAGAAAGTGGCAAGGAGCCAAAGCAGTCGTTCTTCACGCAGTTCAGAAGAACTATGTCTGGACATGCGATGATCCCCGGATGCGCACAGATCGTAATGTTTCGGGTGAGAGGTTTGATGCTTTCTGTTTGTTGAGTAATTGGTGCTGCTATGCTCCGAAGCCAATACCCTTACAGTGTTTCCAGCCCGAGCCGTTTTATCTGCGAGGCCGTGGAGCAGGCGCATGCAACGTGCCGAGGGTCCATGACCCCAAGCCCGTAGCAAGCAAGCAAGCAAGCAAGCAAGCAAGCAAGCAAGCAAGCAAGCAAGCAGAGACGGAGATCCAGAGAGGGGGCAATCACAAGTGCTGAAGTGTAAGCAGAATGCAGTAGTCTTTATTTGGTTTGTATGTTAGTCTCACTTCGTTTCTATCGGCACAGCGACAGGCCTTGTAGCCTTGTCAAAGTTCTTTACATGTTGTGGTATCCTGCGGCCCTGTCAATGATTCGATAATGAAAGCCCTGTTGGAGCCACCAGCGGGTCATCGTCGTGTTTCGAGTTTGGACGCTTGCAGTTTGCATTGATGTCGGCAAGTCTAGACGTAGCAAGGGCAATGCTGGTTGAGTTTCTTATTCTCATCCAAGGAACCGCTCCGCGCGGACCCCAGCTCGATTCACAAATGAGCTTTCAAATGCGTTAGAAACCGTTAGTGTGACAACGTGCATAACGCGCAGTGTGAATCCCAGGGTCGGGACTTGGGAATGGCAATGAAGCGCCTCAACTCACGCGTGCTGTGCCCAGATCAAAATGGGCTGTGTCGAGTAGTAGTAAGGCATGAGTGGTACATAAACATAGCGGTATGGCGTACTTGTTCCAGCTGAATCTAGTGGCAACCTGTAGCGTCATTTGCGCTGCGAAAAGAGTAGTAGCACCTTTGTCTGCAAGGATTCGGGCGCTGCGCGCTCCGACAGCGCCGGCTCGGAGCTGGACGAGGAGCACGTGTGTGGAGCTGTTCTCGGCAAGTGACAGCAGGTGCTCACTGTCATCCGCCACAGGAGAACTACACCTCCGACTTGGCTGACCGATTAGCTCCCTGGCTACATGGTGCCTAGGTCATATCAGACGCACGCCATCACTGGCAAATCAGAGGCGGTCGATGTTTACAGTGCAAAGCTGCAAGCGCAGGCGGCGATGGAAGCACTCGACAGGTCCGGCTCCGAAGATGAAGAAAGCCTGGACCTCAAGCGGATCACCCCGGCCCCCCACAAAGCACGCAGCTCTGCACAGCTCTTCCCGGAGCTTCGCAGCTTCAGGCGCGATTGTGCGGGAGGGGGACTTGCAGGTGGGAACGAAAGGGAGTTCAACTCAAGGACCTAGCTCGGGCTGCTCGGGCAGGGTGCATCGCCCAGTTCGGTCTCAGCTCCACGGACGGAGATGCCAATCCCTCGGCCTTAAAGATTCCTTCTGGCATGGCAGGAGCTTAGTGCTGTACCATATCATCGCATCGTGCAGGTCTTCCATGTCCTTTGGATGTTGCTCTCCGGAGCCAAGCGCTGAGGAAGCACGCCTAGAATCTTGAGCGTGGACAGCCCATATTGAGATAAAGCTCTTGACAGTGCAGCTGGCATTTTCTTAACGTTGCCTCAAGAGGTCGGCCCCGTGTCGAGAAGTGATTCAAGCAGCCAGTTCAAAGGCGGAGGGCCTGAAGCAATGGAGAGCAGTCATTAGCTCTCTCTTGCAGGTCAACGCAGTTACGACGAGTTGCCAGAACGTGTGGCGTGTCCTTTGGCAGATGCCGTTGTTCTTGGTAACTGCGACGCACATCTGCACGTGTAGTCCCATGCAAGGTGCCTCCAGATTCACATGCCGGCACAAAGCGATATCGCCGAAGGGCCTGTCGTCCCAGAACTTCCGCGAGGAGCTCGTGGTTTCTCCAGCCAGCATGCCGCCCAAGGTGTCAGCGTACAGCGACCTGTGGTCCCCTTAGTAGTTTCAATTTCCTTAAGTGGTGACTGGCTTTTCGAAGTAAAGCGCAAGCACAGCTAAGTACCTGGCACTAGGCGAACCTACGCAAAAACCAAAGGCCTTCAGTGGGCAGCGTGTGTTGTTGCATCCGCCACGGCATGCCTGCTTCAGCAGCGCGTCTTGAATGTGTGTTGCCCCCTGCAGCGCCGGAGACACGCGCTGCGCTGGCCTGATCTGCATGTGCTGCATCCGTTGGAAGAAATTCCACGCCCGGCTCAGCATCCGAATGTGTGGTGTGTGAAAGTCACCGAAGTTGAGGCCCGTGCCAAGAACAGCTTGAAGGCCCTCTGGGCAGACCTCAACCATGGCTTGGTACTGCGGTCACATTTCATGGCAGTCGAGACCATGTGGTGATGTAGAAAGCCTCACTGCAAGAAAAAACGGGCAGATCTTCTGAATGCCAGGAAAGGCCCAGATCGCTACAGTTCTGGACGGTCGCGACCTTGTGTTGACAGCGGAGGAACATCTAGGCGAAATGAGCAGCACCAGGCCATTCTTCATTCGATGTTTGGTTTGTCACTACTCTCAGTCTGGACCTGAGCTTTCGGACTTCCCGGAATCCAAGCCCCGATGTATTCTGTCAAGATCGGAGCATGACATGTCATGGGAAATGACTTTCTGAGGTGTTCGTGGCTGCTGGGCCAAGCTTTTGTGTTTCCATTGGCCATCGGTTTTCGCTTTCCAGCTCGCTGATCTGCCACGTGCCACGAGGTCCGGACAGTGCTGGCATTCGTTCCTGAAGGTGCTGTTGAGAGTAGAGAGCGTAAGTAGCACATGGAATAAGACACTGTTCCGAACGGTCTGCAAAGTGGTGCTGCGAGGCTCTCGACATCAAGCACAGCTGAGCAAGCGGCCTGGGGTGCTTGTAGCTGCAGCTCCAGTTGCTGGGATTTGCGGATTTGTGGTGTGCGCGTACGCCAGACAAAGGTTGGGTGGCACTTCCCACGGAATGGTGAGAAACTGAGATCAAGTCAATGCCGGCCGGTGGATTTGACGTTTGTCCTAAGACTCCAGCCAGGCCTCCATTCTTTCAGCCTACTGCGGCTGCTTGGGCAGGCAGCACGCTTGTCGCCGCCGCAAGCTTACATTCGGCGCGAATCGTGCTGCAACATCCTGAAGCGATACCCGCGGAAGTAGCAAGTCAGGCTTCCGGTGGTATCCTGCAAAAGTTCGCAGCTGTGGAAAGTGGGTGGTACCAGCCAGCCCGGAGCCGTGCATATCGGAGTTCACTCCCCGATGGATGCACAGGTCCTTGAGCACATTTTGATGCCCAGGTCGGACCCGTACTCACCGTGCCAGGCAACGTGCGAGGTGGGACTGGCACGTTGATGGACACCTCCCACATCCGGCCTGACAGCTGCACGTGCTTCGCAGTTTGCAGAGTACGAGGCATGGGGCTGATGGACGAGCATGTTGCAGTCATTAGCGATGAGGCATCTCGACGGCTGTGCATTTGTTGTTACAGACTGTCTGGATACGGTTGAACAGGGAGTGTTCCGCACGGCTGAGCTGAATTCGCCTCTGCCCTCAGTTGCACGAGTTCGGGAGGACGTTTTCAATTGACGGTGGCTCGTGTCATGGAAACACCGCAGGTCTTGGATCAACTCCACTTCTGGAGATGCCTCGGAGGGACCCCTGGGCATGGACCCTGGACATGCGTTGTACATGCAAGTTGGATGTTGCGCAAATGCGAATACGAAAGACGCCGAGGACTCCTGATGCAGAGCGATGAAGCCGTGGCCGCAGCAGCGCTGCCCCGCACCAAGACTTATCGGAGTTTCCGTAGCAACTTGTTGAGCCTCGGCCTCGGACATTTGAGGCTGCCTCCTGCCGCCGCGGGGGTGGAGTTATCTGCTGCCTCGCTGAGCGGCCGGCCGCCCAGATCGCTGGATGGCGTGCACTTTCGCTGACAGTGCAGGTGGGGACCTTCCGGGCACTGCAGCAGTGGCCGTTGTCGGCTCCGACGGACTGCCCAAATCTCGGCGCAAAACTGCTGCCACCTCCCATTGCACCTTTTAGCTGGGGCTGCCGAGGCTCCGCCTTTGTCGCTTACCGTCTGCACCAGGACCCCCAACGTTTCCAAACCTGAAGCGATGGATTTGGAGTGGTCTTGGCAAGCGGAGGAGAGCCTTTGGAAGTACTGCTGGAGCTCACGCTTGGTTTGGGGCAGGTGGGCCCAGCACGGCGCAGCAGAGTTGCACCGCTTGCAAGCACCTGACATAGTGAGGGTCCGTGAGGGCTGCAGCAGAGGCTTCCTCAAGCCGGACTTCGAAAGTTAGTCTTCCAGTTGGGAGTTGCAAGGAAGTACCAAGGAATTACTCGTGGGTTTAGAAATTTTGCAGCGAGGCCGATGACGGAGCCCGGAGGGTGTCGGGATTTGGAGTCGCTTGGGTCGATCCGCTGGCTTCGTTGTTGAGCTTTCCCCCCACTCGCCCTTCTGATGCGAACACGTACAGTCAAGGCCCTGTGCCTTTCCATGACCCATGGGACTCATTATTGACGCGTCGTCTGTCGAAGCAGGTTCAGGGTCTGCGACTATGCCACGCAGCAGCTTGTGGCAGCAATGAGGCCTGAAAAGCATTGTGAGGTCACGTGTAGACTTTGGCGATGATCGTAAGGACGTAGAGCTCGCTGTTGCAAGCTTTGGGCAATCCACCATGATCATGTCAGGCCGTCTTGTGGGTTGCCGACTCAGAGGGCAGCGCGAGGTCCTCGGAGCTTTGACGGCGTTGGACTGTGAGCAAAGGCGTTTCAGCCTGAGGTCCATGCTATCAGCCTTGACAGCGGCAGGGCCCCAAAACAGCGCTTTGAAGAACTGTGAGTGCTGGGGTCTAACGAGGTGACATCCGTGCGACCTTCACTGCAGATCTTCCAACAAGAGGCTCGGCCAGCTGCAATTCCCATGCATCTCGACTTATCGGTTTCCTGGCGTTGCATCCCTGAGTGGGTGATTCACAAGCATCCATACTGTTGATATATTCCCTGGCCCATGTACACTCCACGGGCTAGTCGTGTGACGTATTTGCAAGAAAGGGTTCGTGAGGAGCGCGTGTCGTTGCTTTGAGTGGCAACAGTTCCCATTTGGCCCTGGACTCGGCGCGACACATGCAGAGATGCACCGAGGGCAGGTTGGAGGTACATGTATGCGGGACAAGTTTCACAGTGCTTGAGGGCTACGTCAGCGTTCTTTGCCAAGGCTGCTTTGCTGGTGCTTGACAGCCTGGAGCCACAACTGGCCCTTACCTCGAACTTACAGACACAGGCATCACTCCAGCGCTTGGCATATCAGGTTGCAGCACAATACCCTGTGCTTCCTCGCACATCTGCGGTGGAGTTGTAGCACCTCCTTGCGAAGGGTACCGGTAAGGAAGGAATGGACGCAGCACAAGGCTGCCCTCAATTGCAGGCATGGTCATTTGGGTAATTGGGTATAGGCCGGTAATAGGTATAGGCGATCTGCAACTGTCTTGGAGGAAGTGCACAAGCTGCATTAAACTCATTAAACAAGAGCATAGCAAAGTCTTGAGCATGTATCTTACCAACATAGAATTTCAGAAAGCACTTTTCTAGTGGTGTCCATGATTAAATCATGGTGCACTACGATGACAAAGTTACGCCGGGTACTTTTGCGAAGAGCATCTGTGCTATGACGAAAAGGCTGCATTGTCAGGTGATCTGTCAGTCACCCGCACGGACTTTCCGAAGTATGGGGGGACACTACACGTGATCTGTCGAAGCAAACGAGTCGTGGGGTTCACGTGGTGCGGATTCGACAGTGGCAGTTTTTTGAGTGTGGCGGCTCAATGCCTGAACATACAAGACCTCACCTGGCCATCATTTATCTTCGTTTGCTTTCCATAAAGCAAGCTATACGTGTATGATACTGTATGATTCAGGTTCAACGGATTTACCGTGGAAGTTTGTGCTAAGCGTATGCTCAGCCTGTAGCGAGTCAGACGAGTCAACAGTTACATCGCATGGCCATAAGTGGAAGGCCATGTGCTGTGAGTCCGCTTTTCGGACGAAGCGTCTGCCAGGACTGGCCAGCACATGCCCAAACTTCCCCAACCGGACCTTAATCAGACCGTGACATTAGCAGATTCTGGACATGTCAGGCAAAGGGCGCTGTGCAGTTGCAGCTCGCACGCTGGGTGCTGGCGAGGCACTGTTATAGGAGCCACGTGCCACTTCGATCCGGGACGGGCAGTGCCAGACTTTCGAGTGGCAGGTCGTTTTGATTGAGCAACCTTGGGCAGTGGTGCTTCTGCCAGGGCAACACCAGCGCCGATCTCCGAGTGATCTATCAGTGATTTGATTCTCTTGCAGTGTTACTGTTGTTTCTCTTGCGTGCCAGGCTGTGACTTCGGCCTCAGCAATGATGGAAAGCTCCTGCATCTCGCTCAAACGCACAATGCGTAGCAAAGCAACGTGGCAATGTAGGCAATGCGCCTAGACCAACGGGCTTGAGAATTGGAGACCTCTGCCCAGCGGGCGGTGACGACATTGGATGCATAGCTTGTAAATGTGACTGAGGGTAAGAGTTCAGGTCTCCTCTCGCTGCGCAGTGTTCCTTGACCACATTCGAATTTTCTCTGCAGACTTTAGACGAGATAGGAGCAGGAAGTGTAGGACTGAACCGGCAAGTGAGAGATGGGGAGGGAATGACAGCTCGACTGGCAGAGCCAGGGACAGGTGCAGCCTCAACCAAGGTGCGATCAAGAAGCGTTTTAGAGGTGTAGGAAACTAGTGACCATAACATGAATGTAACGGTTCGGTTCGGTTGCGGTTTTGAAAAGGCGGTTCAGGTTTATGCGATTCGGCTTCTCCGACGGTTCCTGCGGTTCAGTTCGCGGTTCCTGGCGGTTCCAATCCCCTAGTCCCAATAGCGCTGAGAACAACACATGTTGGAGCTTCGGGGGAATGGCCGCGGAGCCACGCGGGGGAGTACACAATTCGGGAGCTTGCGAAAAGGGTACTCCCACGCGTGCTGCTGGGGAGGACCCCGCCACGCGGGGGAGTACACAAATTCGGGAGTTTTGGGGCCTCGAGCTTGCGCAAACGGTACTCCCGCGCGTACTGCTGGGCAGGGGCCCGCCACGCGGGGGGTACACAATTCGGGAGTTTGGGGCCTTGAGCTTGCGAAAAAGGTACCCCCACACAATTCGGGAGTTTGGGGCCTGAAGTTTGCGAAAAGGGTACTCCCACGCGTGCTGCTGGGGAGGCGCCCCCCACGCTGGGGAGTACACAATTCGGGAGTTTGGGGCCTGAAGCTTGCGAAAAGGGTACTCCCACGCGTCCTGCTCTGGGGAGGGGCCCGGAGCTACATGGAAGAGTAGGTTGGGGCCCCGAAACTGCAGAAAGCGTAAACCTTATATCAGTAGGAACCGAAAAAAAAGGGACTCTATATAAGCCCCTTATGGGGGCCGCGAACCCAAGAGGCCCGTGAAGTGAAAAATCGTGATCCATCACCGATCTGTGCAAATCCGTTTTGGGCCACCTCTGCTCCGAG